CTACTGAGTTTACTCTGTAAATGTTTAATATGAGGTTTCCAACTGATTTTGTCATCTATTATTAAACCGAGGAACTTATTAGCAAAAACCCTTTCTAGAGTTATGTCCTCTATTTGAACTTGGATTTCAGTATTTTTATAACAGTTCCCAAAAACCATGATTTTCGTCTTGTCCAAATTTAGGGATAATTTGTTATGGTCAAACCATATCTTTAACTTACTAATCTCTGAGGTGACTGTTGAGAGAAGATGCTCTAAATTGTCGCCAGAGGCTAGAATATTTGTGTCATCAGCGAATAAGATAAATTTTAATACATTGGACACTTTACTGATATTTATATAAAGATTAAATAAAAGTGGTCCCAATACTGATCCTTGTGGTACTCCACAGACAGTCTCCTGCCAATCAGATTCCACATCACCCAATTTCACAAATTGTTTCCGGCTCTTTAAATAACTCCTCATCCAGTCAGAAACTACTCCCCTAATTCCATAGCGTTCTAATTTTTTAAGTAGGATTTCATGATTTATTGTATCAAAAGCTTTCTTTAGATCTATAAATATCCCTACTGCCAGTTTCTTACTATCTGTTGCGTTGGTTATTTCTTCTATTAAGTCAGTTACGGCCAGCGATGTTGACCGATTTGCTCTGAATCCATATTGACTGCTGCTAAGTAACGAATGTTTTTCTATGAATTGTTCCACTCTTTTCTTAAAGAGTTTTTCCAGGATTTTAGAAAATTGTGGGAGAAGAGAGACAGGCCTGTAGTTAGTGAAGAGGTGTTTATTGCCAGTTTTATACATTGGTTTGACCTTAGCCATTTTCATTTTGTTGGGAAATGATCCCGTTTGAAATGATAAATTGCAAATATAAGTTAAAGGTTTAGAAATTCCTTTAATTACTATTTTAATAGTTTTCATGTCCAGATCATCACAGTCAGTGGAAGTCTTACATTTATTCACAATGTTTATGATTTCTTCTTCTAGTACAGGGTTGAGATATAAGGAGCTGGGATTATTCTCAATTTGATATTGCTGAGTTGCAGTATTTATAGTCGTTATTTTTCCTGCTAATTGAGGTCCTATATTAACAAAAAATCTATTGAATTTATTGACGACACTTTTCAAATCAGTAATGTTCTGTTCGTTATCTATAAAATAGTCTGGATAGTTATTGTTAGATTTTCTAATAACTCTATTTAAAATATTCCATGTTTCCTTAATGTTGTTTTTATTCCTATCCAGTAATTTATGATAATAGTCCTTTTTACATGTTTTTATAATATTAGTTAACTTATTTTTATATTTCTTATATTTGTTTTCTGATTCAGACGTTCTGTTTTAGAAATTCTCTATAAAGTTTGTTTTTCTTTTTACATGCCTTTTGTATTCCTTTTGTGATCCACTGTTCATTTTTTGATTGCTTTTCCTGTTATATTGTTTGATTGGGCAGTGCTTGTTATACAGTGTTTTAAATGTTTTTAAAAATTCTTCATATGCTGAATTCACATCATTCATTTTATATATTAATCTCCAATCGTAGGCCAACAACTCAGCTTCTAGAGCTTTTAGTGTCTCTTCTGACGTAACCCGTCTGTAATGCATCTCTATTTTATGTTCATCCGTTATGCACTTAAAATCGTAGACTATGAACACTGGTAAGTGATCCGTTATGTCATTCATTAATATTCCACTACTTAAATTATTTCCCAGCACATTTGTGAAGATATTATCAATTAAAGTAGCGCAGTGCGATGTAATACGACTAGGTCTAGTAATTCTAGGATACAGACTTAGACTCAACATGGTGTTAATAAATTCTTCAGTCATTCTATGTTTATTTGGATTAAGAAGGTCAATGTTGAAATCCCCACAAAAAAATATTAGTTTTTGAGTAATTGTTATAAATTTTTCTTCTATCCAGTTGTTGAGTACTTCAATGTTTGATCCAGGGGCTCTGTAAATGCAACTCACTAAGACATTTTTCTTTTTTTCCACAAATATTTCTATAGTCACACATTCAAATACGTTATCCATGACAATTGACATTGTTTCGATCAATTTATAATTAAACTTCTTGTCCACATATAAAGCTACCCCCCCTCCATTTTTGTTTTCTCTGTTCTTACAAACCATTTCATAACCATTGATTTCAAAGTCTATATCCTTATCACTATTGAGCCAAGTTTCTGATAAGGCAATAACATTGAAGGTCTGTGAAAGTTGTTGAATATATTGTTTGATGCTGTCAAAATTTGCATAAAGGCTTCTACTATTAAAATGAATTATTGACAACTTTTGTTCCGTTTTAATCCTATTGTTAAACTGATCATCGCTGTAATAGTGACAACTATCATTGCTGACATTATAGAAGTTGTTATCAGGATCAATGTCAGTTTCAATATCTTGCTGATGATAGTTTCTGTGTTGGAATACGGGTAGCTCTATATCCTCATAGGCCGCGATCTGTTGCATGTTTCTCTTTCAGTAGTGACCATCATCTATGTCTGGCTGTCTGTCATACATTGTTGGATAATTTAGGGGTACTAGTACGTGGATGGGTGATCAACTTATCATAACGTAGGTAAGCGATGTCCCCTCTTTGACGTGCTGCTTTTAAGTCCGGCATTAGTTCCGCCCTCCTTTTCCTTACTGCATCCGTGAAGTCTTCGTTAATGAAAATCTTAGATCC